AGGCCAAAGGTCAAAGAGCGTCTTTCACAAACTGAAAGATACGAAAGATACATAGAAATTGTGATTGGAATTTATTTTCTACATTTCCATAAATTTAAGCGATTTAATGATTCCTGGAAAAAAAAAATGAGTGGATTATCAACAACCTTAGTCTTACCATCGGTTTTAGTTTTTGTAGATGAAGACTTTGATTGACAGGTCTCTAGGGCTACAGTTCTAATGTTGCTGCTTGCTTGCCAGTCTCCGCCCCTCTGCCTACATTTGGCTGTCTCATACAATTAGAACGACTGTGGAACAAGATAATCCAACGCGCCTAGCTTTAAAATACGCTCTCAGATGCTACGTTGCCATGTTTTTCTTCAGTCTATGCTTGGCAACAAAGATCCTGCCAAGATTTCCAAAGACTAACACTAACACTATGAACTGCAGCAGCTTAACTGTCATATTGACATGTTAGGCCTCTTGTGGATCCTAGATGACTCACACTCATGTTTGCTCATAATCAACCAACTACCGTACAGGAAGCCTCAATATTTAATAAATCGTGGAAATAAAGAGACAGATGTTAGCGGCAGTATCCAGCATCAATGAAAGGGTTTAAAAAAAAAATGAAACTTTGACAAATGACAAAATGAAGAACAACCGAGAGGTTAACTCACGCTCATCTTAAGTTTCAGTGACTCACATCACTGCTGCCAAACTCTGACCTGGCAGGATGCAGTCTGGTCTTTAAAAGGCTGGTGGGGTTTTTTTTTTTTATCTCCTTGTATAAAAAGTGATAACAACACTGTCGTTTTTCTACCATGAAAGGACCTTAATGGAGAAACTAGTCCTCATGCATCTGACCTTAAGTACAAGTCCTGGATCATTAGGGACATTAAAGAAAAAAGACCCAAGAAGGAGCTCTTCCTCTGTGGTTCAGAGCAAAGACTCCTCTATCACAGAGGATTGGCAACTGCTCCTGAATTATCCCACGTAACCTTTATCCAACGTAACAGCTTTACTTTAAGTGTTGTGGCATTTCCTGGTTGGTCTTTCACCAGATATTTACAGCCCGTTCTTTCTAGGAATTACACTGACTTGACTATTGTACAAAACAAAGTTATTTTCAGTTCAGTTCCAGTTCCTTGCAGGAAGTAGAGTTCTGTTTTCCCCGAAAGATATTTCAGACAGTGGCGGCCTTTGAGAAGTAATTGAAAAGCCATATTGTCTTAATATACATATCAAAAAATTTTTTTTCCATACTTTCACTTTAAATAACTGACAAATGTGCTGATAGAGAGGATGGTGTGAACGTTTTATACTTTGTCAAAAAAGTAAGACAGAGCCGCTGGATGCTCCAAGAGTTTCAAATTTTCATTAGTTCACCTCAGGCCAACAACCACAACTTTTTAGCTTTCGTAACATTAATCAAGTGTTTTTTGTTGCCTAACTGTAACCATGTCCTACACTTTGTGTAGTGTGGAGATATTGCACAAATAATTAAAAAGAAAGGAAATGCTTAATGTGACTGTAACTATGTGCAACTAAACTGCCTCTTCCTCCCCTGCTCTCTCACGCTGTGGCTTGTTTTGACTTTTTCCTTCTTTTCTCATCCCTCTCTCTACATCTAGCTCCACTGCTTGTATTTTTACCATTATTAGTATCACCATCCCTCACTCATTCACTGCCCCTTTCTTTCCTGTCCAACCACCCCCACCACCCCCCTGCCTGGACTTGCTGGTCTGCAGTGTCTATTTCAGTCTTTCCGTTGGGGTCAGATTTGGCACATCCGGTATCTCATCCAGTTTATTGTCATTCAATCCTGCTGTGCTCCCGGAGGGCATCAGGAGGAAGGCCCCTGGGTCTTAGTGCCTGACGGACCTCATGCGCAGTCATACACCCAGAAAAGCTGGCACTACTGTAGTCGAACGTTTTGACCTTATGAATCTGCTAACTTTATTCTATTTTTCTTTGACTTGACTGGATTTTTTATTGATTTCATGTGCTGTTCTATCATATTTTATACTGAAGAGGTCTTCACAGGCCCACTCTGTTGCTATTAACCCAGACCCGACCTGGGTCCTGAGTCAGGTCTGGTCCAAATTCGAGTCAATCTAACTGGGTCCGGTTGGTCCTGTCTATTTGCCATGTATCTTCAGTTTGGGTCCAAAACACTGCAGCTCTATTACCATAATGTTTAACTTCATTATTTAGAAGTATTTTGCTAACTTTAAACAGTACGCCTTTTCCAACCCTACTGCCACAAGAAGACATTGATAGTCGATGATTCTGCAGAAAACCCAAATTACAATCAGTGGCAACATTTTTTATTCCCACCCTTTGCTGACGTTTTAAAAACACCTGCTTTTGCAAAATCTGTTACCTAGGTTATGGTTAGCAATTAGGGAAAGATGGTGGTCATGGCAAATATGTTTTATGGAAAACCAAACCACTTGGTGAAGGACAGGGAAAGATCGTGGTTACAGTTACTTAAGAGTTGAACATTGACCGGAGAGAAACTACTTCCTGCCTTGCTACACATAGGTAACACTAACATCTGCATTGACACTGAATGTCAGCACTGAACATAAACTGTGAGATGGACTGATATGAACAAAAATCCTTGGATTACTGTGCTGGTTTACTCGGGTACATTTATCTGACTGCTGCAGAGGAGCCTGCTGATGTTTGTGCAACGAGCTTAACGGTACCTGAGGACAAACTTGTTGCGTTGCTACAGGGTCAAAGAATACAGGTCCAAGAGATAAAGAACATGACTGTGAAGTATTCTATAAAGGCATTTGTTGGATGCTGAGCTCAACAAATCCGGGTATTTTACCAACTTGGAACCAGATCTACAATGGAAGCAGCTATCAGCACCCATCCCTACCCATAATAAGGTTTGCAGAAATGTTTAAACATACGCTTTGGAGAAGCATAACCACAACTGCATAGACATCACCCAGTTTCTCACGAGCCCTCTCCTGAAATCTGGGCTACCAGGTTAGAGATTCGTCATAACACCTGACAAAACTGTGAGTGTAACGTGTAAATAAGACGGCTCTACAGGGAGACAGGGCTGTGTCCACCACTGAGGACTGGGGAGGTCTGGAGTTGATGGAAGGCGTGTGTTTTGTTTCAAAGTTGTTACGCTCACTGGCAAAGTGAATGCAGAGAGATTAAATTAATATTGATCGTCTCGGCTGAAAAACAAGCAAATTTCCCAAAATGTGTTGCTTTAAACTTTTTAGGGTTATTTATTTACTGCAATAGTCGCTGCTGAGCAGCACATGCAAAGTGTTCTCCTCAAAGATAATGTTTGATGCTTTGGAGAGAGAAAGTGGCACAGAAACGACACAGGACAAAAAAAAAAAAAAAAAGGAGAGAAGAGAAATAAGTTAGAAGAGTGAAAGACAGGAAGCAGGGAATGGATGAAAGGGGAGAGCGGAGGGAGGTGGTGAAGGTGATATGAAGGGAGGAGAGGAGGCGAGAGGATGGGGGAGAAACGAGAGGAAGAGAGGAGAGGGAGGCAGGAAAGAAGAGGAGAGGTGAGGGCAACCCCTCCTCAATCCAAGGCGAAAGGTCACTGCAGTCGGTTTTAAAATAGCCCGAAACCATGATGTCATCTGTGAGAGGCGCAGCTATGCTCCGTCCGTTAAACTCCATCGACCATCAGCAGGTCGAGTCCAGGCTCAGCGGAAGTCAGAGAGTCAGCGGAAAGACGAGGGATCAGCACAGTTCAGAAGTTTCTCTTTCCTTCTGACATCTGAATCAGTCGGTTTTTAACCTACAACTTTACAGATTTACTCTTCAACTTTTACATGACGACCAGGAGTTTGGGGATTTTTACATTTTCTACAAACCAGCTCTTTTATTGAACAGGATATAATTAGTTGCAGAATTTAAAATATTAATAAAGATTGACACCTGATTCAATTTTCAAATCAATTTGTTTTCCACATTCATATTCAATGGAGGGAGTTGAGTATGAAATACCTACTGATCGTACATTCAACTTTAAGTTTCTCTTGTCAACAAATCCCATGAAAACATCAAAAACAAAAAAATGCATATTTCAATATAAAAGTCTTAAAATACCTAAAAATGCATCTAATGTGTGTAATTCTTGGCATACATTGTTCAAATAGGATTAAATTTGCAGGGGACTATATTCCATGGCGGATTAATACACAAGTAGTCGCTAACTGAAGGTTTTGTGGGGGAAGTTTAACCGCATGTGACCTTTCTATGGACTCTGACCATACACTAAAGAACATAATCTGCTATCGTATGTTAGAGAAGTAGAGCTTCGGAGGCTGATCTGTGTGTATGTGCACAGACCATCAATGATGCATCAGCTGAGATTCCCACGGGAGGCGTTCTCCTGCTGATCCACAGTCATTTTTTTTTGGTTAAAAAGGAGTTTAAGTGAGTCGTCTACCAAATTAGTTGTACTTGGTAATAGTGTTGACCATTTTTTGAAAGCACTGTAGAATCTTTGATTTCTAGATTCTTGGCACCAATTGCTTCAACATTCTTCCTGCACACTGAGAAAATCAACTTGCAAAGTTAAAAGTTGCTTTATAATGTAATCCATTACGGCGAACACTCTTTCGACTCCAAGTTTCTGCCAACTTCACAATATTTTTGTGACTTACTACCATTCTTAAAACCTGCGTAGTTGTGCGTTCAAGGACGACCCCCAAGCAAGGAGATGAGCGATAAGCCCAGCAGTTGTGGATGTCCAAAAAAGATTTTAAATCTCATTGAAAGTGATAAAGATAAGTACGATGCAGCTGCTAATAAACGATCCTAAATGAAAACAACAACATTCATAACATGTACATGCACAGGTACGTTTCTGTTTGACTGCTGATGCTTTGGCGTCACTCGTTTCTTCACACTGGTCACCTTGTTTGTGTGCTTGTTTATAAAAAGCAGAAGAGGTTAGTATTCGCTAGAAAAGCCACAACAGCTGAAGAAGATAAAGGAAGTGCGCCACAAAAATAAATTCAAACTTCATCTTCAAATTAGAGGGAAACCAGTTCGGACGTCTTCAACCATGCTAACAGCTCTGTGAAGCCCAGGAGAGGGTGAGATTAAGACTTTTAAATATTTATAACGCATTTTCACTCAAGGCAACACATCAGCTGAAGCCTGGCAGTGGAGCTGTGGGTTGGGCAGCAGAAACAAAGTGTATATACTGTGTGTGTGTTTTTGTGGAAAAGAGCGCTGGAGCAGGAGTGTGTGTGTGTGTGTGTGTGTGTGTGTGTGTGTGTGTGTGTGTGTGTGTGTGTGTGTGTGTGTGTGTGTCCGTGTCCGTTCCAGGGCAGGGGTTCAGTCATTACTGATACTCCCCCAGCACAGAGGTCCATCCTCAGGTTACCACTGACGGTCTCTCGAAACACCAGCTCTCTGTGACTGTTTTTCACTGTTTTTCAGTTTAGTTTTGTTTCACTCATTTTTACGTCTTAGAATTCTAGCATCTTAAGAGGAACCGAATTGAAGAAGTCAAAAGATAGCTTGAGCAATTTGATAACATCTGCCTTCCAGCTTCCCCTTCTTCGCATTTCCTGTCGTTCCAGCACAATGACACTTTGTTCTTTAAAATGCGACGATGCTGTCGAGCATCAGCTTCAGAAAGAGAGAGACGGAGAGAGGAAGAGATGCTTCTCATCATCTTCCCTCTCTCCTCTGAGCCAGATGGATTATCTACTAAATAAAACAACCATTGTGCTGACGGCCATGACAGTTCAGTGTTTGCCATGAACCTGCATCGAGTTTCCCCCTGAACCACCATCACATTAGTGGGAACATCAATGATGGGGAAAGATGAAAGTTTAGATTCTATTGATTTGGCCGACAAAAAAAAATGACCAGAAGACGTGAGCATTTAATTAAAAGTGCCAAATTTCATTTTCTGAAGTGAGATTTTGCCAATAAATAAGGCACATATAAAAACAATTAGATTGATAATTGAATAGCAGGACTCTAAGTTTTATTTCTATTTCCTCATATGGGTAAAAATTGTTGTAGTAACTCAGCAGCAGAGTCTTTACATGCACATTTCTTAGTGATTGGTGATTCTATAGTGATTACAGATGATTTTAATCAGGCAAAACAGTGACTGCTGTTGTTTGCACCTCCCATCCATTTACTGGACGTTGTGTCCATGGAAACCATGTTTGGGAATTCAGGTACCCAGAATCCCCACAATCACATACACACACAGTAACACACATGTGACACATAAAAAAAAACAACACAGCCCTGAGCTCCACTTGTAACTTGAGAGGGGAGGGCGCTGCCTCTCACACACATATACACACACACACACACACACACACACACACACATACACACACACACACACACACACACACACACAGGTCTCATCTTAGCTGTTGTTACCAGAGAATTGATAACAGACAATCCCCACTCCTCAGAACAGCCAATCAGTGCAGCCGATACAGTTCATGTGATGCTAATACAGGACCATTGAGACATTGATTCTGTTTCCACCTGCGTCTGTTGGTTTGTATGTTTGAGTTATGCAAAAAGTACTGAACCGATTTGCACCGAACTTGGTGGAGGGATGAGGCATGGGTCAGTGAGGAACCCATTAAAATTTGGGGCAGATCCAAATAATTGACTGTGAATTTGACTTTTTTTCTCTGAAGTCTGGTGTATGTTGTTTGACATTGGCCTTGGTGGAGGTCTGCGCTCTCCGAGTGCCCTTGCAACTAATGATTATTTTAAAAATGGATTGATTCGACCCTTCTTTTTTGGATTAATCTATTCATCAATTACCTACAAAATGTCAAAAGAAAAATGAGTTTTTTAATAAAACCACCCAGTACAAGTTCAAAGCAAAGAGATAAAATATAAAACAGATAAAAGAATGAAACTATTACATTTAGATAAGTGAAACCAGACTATCAACAAGTGTAAAACTGTTGTTCTTTAAGTTAATAATAATCAATTAATCAAGTAACTGCCAATTCGTTTAACCCTAGTTCATTTTGCACAAATGTAGACTTGAAGTTGAACTTGACGGGACGCTCCACCACATTTTTCCATCCTAGGTGCCACAGTCTCTAACTTTTTGACATGACTTGCAGTATTTGTGTTGCTTTGGCTCAACCAGTAAATAAAAATGAGGTCATGGAAATGGACGGCAGGCCTCTTCTTTTTAACAATTAGATGGCCTGATAGGCGGGCAGAGTATGAGCGAGCCGTGGCCACCGCTCTCCCTGATGAGATTAGTCACCAGGACTTCTCCTCTCTCCTCCGACTAATTTGAAAATGCATCCTCATCTAAACCAACCTGGGCCTCCTTATCTGCTGCTTTATGGCTGGAGGGCGGGGTCCGAGAGGAAGATACAGGCAGGCTGCAGGGTACAGCACTTTTATGCTCAGGCTGCCACAGATTGCTCAAAAGTCTCTTGTTCAAAAGCCCGGAGGACAGGAAGAGTTTCTTTTGTTTTTGTTTTATTTTTGTTTTTAGAGTCCAGCGTGTTAATCACCTCTCCTTCCTTCCCTCCCTGTGATGGATTGCCGTTCTTGTGTTTCATTCACCTCCCCCACACCTACTTCTGGTTGCTCCTCTCTTATCGCTTTTGCTCTGCATTTTCCAGAGGCCACTTGTCTTTTCTTACTTCCTGTATTTAACCGTTTAGCTGTACATAACAGGGCAATAACACAATGTGATTTATTTCACTTTGTTTTCTTTTTTCTGCTCAGCCACGGCTGCTCATGAAAACTATCCAGTTCCTGCTTCTCCTTTTTCTGTCATTGCAATGTTTGTTTATCAATTAACAGCAACAGCATAAAAGAAAATTGATCAAAGTGTCTCAGTTCATCGGTGCAGGACTTGATTAGGCGCTGGAACATACTTCTCTGGTGCATGGCTACACATCTGGCTAGAACATGAGCATGTTGTTCTTGTTTAAAGATCAGATCAACCAATCAGCTTGTTTGCACACACATTGTTGAGAGTTGTGAAGTTTGGCTTGGCTCCTGTGCGAGACTCCTGCCACCTCGTGCAGCTCTGCAGAATAATAATTCCTGCTTAAAAAGGTACAAAAAAACCTTGTCGTTTAGGGCTGGGAATCCAACTTCGATACTTTTATGGACAGACTAGATTAGTTTGATAGTGCCGGGGATCGAAAAATACCTTGTCATTCGATACCCAATTTCGATACTTGAGGAGTAAATGAGTAAATCTCATCAGCGTCAGTGAGCCAGTAAGCATGCAGCATGCTTGGACCAGGATCTAATAATGCTGGTGATTGGCTGTTCAATAATACGAACACTGATGCTGTACGACGATACGACAAGCGCCTTGGTGGACGGATACCGAAGCCTTATTGATCACGGCCCATCCATTCACCCATCCTCCTTAACAGAAGGTGGCAGTAATGAATCGCCTTGTTATCAGATGACCAACATTCGACTAAAACACAAGGTGTTGGGGCAGTTCAGTGTAGGTGATAACTGTAAAGAATCTGAAAACTTTTGGTTCGTTTACCGTGTTTTTTTTTTTTTTCCCCAAATGAGTCTTGAACCACATGGATGTGAACTCAGGACCCCCCCCCCCCTCCTCCCCTCCTCCCTCACCTTCTTCCTCTATCTAATCTCTGATCTGAGCTGCTTTGAATGCATTTCCATTTGGCCTCATTACTCTCCGACAGGACCGGCCCCCATGTGAGAAGCGAGCCAGCCATCTCTTCCCCTCGGCCACTTGGCAAGACTGCCCTTTCTCTGAGTGTGTGGCTGAATGTGTATAGTGTGTGTGTGTGTGTGTGTGCGTGTGTGTGTATGTGTGTGTGTACAGTATAGTGCATGTTGAATAGGGAGGTTTTGTACTGTCTTTATCATGCAGACACACACACACACACAGAAACACACATTTTCCTTCCAACATGGGTCACAAATATCAAGCTGTCATTTTCATTCAGGACCCATCTGATGTCTGAACAGTGTCACATCAGCTGCATATTCCTGTAGATTAGACCCTTTCATGGAGCCTTAATTTAGTCTATTTTCTCATGCATTTAGAAGCAAATTTATATTTCCCTTTTAAGTATTTAGTTGCAGCTTTACAATGAGTACACATCACACTACACGCTACCCAACCCAAACATAATTGTTCATTTTAAACATATTGTGGATATGCTGTTTATCTATTTTTGTATGTTTATGAATTTGGCAAACATGTTTTTTTATTAAGTCAGTTTCGCCACTGAGTTACGTCGTAATGATTAAATATAGAGTCAATAGAAATGCATGAAACAATGAAAGTGGACACACATTCACTCTGTGTCTGAAGCAAAGATGCATTCACAAGCTTTAAATCTAAGTAAGAAGTTTGGATGTAACAAAAGCCTGGAAGGTGGAAGATAACTGCCACGGTTTGTGAGGATTGACTTCATAGGTAGAGTCGCACAATGATAACGTCTTTTTAAGAAACATCTAAATCCACTTTGAACCAGGAACTGCAGGAAGAAAAAAAAAAAAAAAAAAGATGTAGTACTGATTGTATCCTGAAAGGATTGTTTGAGAGCTCGAAGATAAATTTTACTGCTCATCTTTATCACTTACAGAAGTCAGAAAACCCAATTTGGTCACATGGCAGGAAGTCTGGGTGGAGCAGTGATGGGATGAGAAAGCGAAATTCACCACATTAAGTGTGAATGACCAGTGTGCCCACAAACACATCCCTTTTAAAAAAAAAGGATCAGCTCAGCCAATTTACAGAAAGATGTATTTTTCTTCTTCGTCTCAGGAGTGTGAGCGTGTAGATACTTTCATTTTAAAGCACTAATGTTTTGAGAGACTGTATCGTGTGACTTCAGCTGCAGGTTCATTAGTTATGCTCAAAATATTTCAAAAGCTCAACAGCTGGAAACGAGCAGCATCTTTCCCAGTTACACACACAAACACACACACACACACACACACACACACACACACACACACACACACCTCTTTGCCAGGAAGTGGTTCCAATGAAAACAAAAAAACTTTATAGGCAGATATTGTGGCGCCTAAAGAAACTGCATCATATAAAGCATCTCTGCACTAGACTCAGCTTTTAGCTGTGGTTGCTGCTTAGTTGGAACCACAAACCAAAACTCTGTGTACTTTATATTTATCAGCCCGTTTTTCTAAAATAAGAGATCTCCTCAATGAGATTTCTCTGAAAGTGTCTGATCCATCTACTTGAACAGTCTTGTAAAGCCTAGCAGGTAAACTTAAAGCTCTAACCCTTCCACTGGAAACATGTCTGTCGATTCCTCAACAAAATCTTTCGCAGAATTAAACCTGAGACTTTAATTTCCCCTCTATATTCTCTGTGACTGTGTGGCCGCGCTGCCAGCCTCTCTGCCTGCAGGTGGGTTTCCTCCGTGGCAGCAGCAGCTGTGCTCAACAGATGCTAAATTACAGTGTGGACCTCATGGTTGTATCTCTCTGGCTCTGGCAGGCTAATAATAGCGTTAGCTTGAGCAGTGGAGAACCTCAGCAGTCATGATGACATGGCTGACGGTTGTGTGGAAGCTCTGCTGCCAAAACCCTTCTCTGATCAAGTGCTGCTTAAATATCTGGAGAGAAATAAGTAGGCTACTGTTTGTTGAGTGTAAAGCAATGTTCCCTCTCTGCCAATAATTGAGGCTAAATAACCAATTTTTGTTTGCTTTTTAATCATAATTTATTTTTGTATTCACACAGGGATTTTCTTGCTCCATATCACAAAATAACCGTAATTACAATTAATTGTAACACCATAACAAAGAGTTGACACAAATCAATGACTCAGTGATTATTTGGTCAAATGCTACAATTTATGAATTTCAGTACTTTTGTTCGTTATGATTTCTGAAAAATCTGATTGAAGAAAACTGAAGTAAAATTCGAAGTAACAGACTTCTTTGATCAGTGTTTATGTGCTGGATTCCCAGAACTCTTCTGTCAATCAAACTACAGGCAGGACTATAATTTCTTCCTTGGGTTTCCTGCTAATGCAGTTCAAGTTTCTTGCTCGTGTTCTTTTCTGTCTAGTCATTGTGGGTTCAGTTCACATGCTAACTAGCTAAAAGACCAAAGACAAAACACATCAGTTCCTTTGCACAAGAGGATGTGTTCAGAACATCGAACGGAGAACATAGTATGTGAATTAAAAGCACTTATGTAAATGCGCGCACACGCCTTTATATGAAAATAGGCTTGAACAATATCCACCCCCCCCCCTAAAAAAAATATATGATTATTTTGGCAAATATTGCGATCGCAGCATGTGTCACGATTTTATTGGAATGACTAGTTGCATTAAAATGAATAAATATAAATGTTTGAATCATTGACGGTTTATTTCAACATCACTAACAACTGTCACTTCCTTTGTCTGTGTGTTTGCAGGTTTATCTGATGTGCCGTGAGTGTTGGGAGCGTCTTGCCCCAACCCTGGCCTGCAGCCCTGGTGCCGCGCGGCCTGGCTCACCAGGATGGACCCTGCTCATTCCTTTAGGATGGAGCTGGACGGGCTGGACCTCCAGCAGGTCCCAGTGCTGTCGCTCGACCAGATACGTGCCATCCGGGCCAACAATGACTATGTGGAGAGGCCCGTGGCGCTGGAACCGGCGTCCCAGTCCGGATTTTTTTATCCCCATGACGACCGTTACCCTCATGGAGTATACACCCATCACCCGCAGCCCCCCTTCCACTCTGCCCTGCCGCGCAGCCAAAGTCAGCAGCAGCACACTCACCTGTCCCACCTGAGCCGTTCCAGTACCATAAGCTCCTCCATTTCTCGGACCAGTGCCACGTCAGACCAGCGGCTACTGGCAGGTTTGACGCCGTCTCACTCTGGGCTAACTTCAGTGATCCGCTCTCAACCTAAAGGAGAACTCAAGCCCGACACTTCCTTTGGTAAAGGCCTGACAGAGGACGAGGCCGAGCTGGGCCGTCATATGTTCATCTGTGAGCGGTGTGGTCGCTGTAAGTGCCAAGAGTGCTGCACCCCCCGCCGCCTGCCTTCCTGCTGGGCCTGTGGACAGCGCTGTCTGTGCTCCGCCGAGAGCGCCGTGGAATACGGCACCTGCTTGTGCTGCGTTAAAGGCTTATTCTATCACTGCTCCGCCCAGGACGACGATGATAACTGCGCTGACCAGCCGTGCTCCTGCGCTCCAGCCCACGCCTGTGCCCGCTGGGGCACAATGGGGCTGCTGGCGCTCTGCCTGCCTTGCCTTTGTTGCTACCCTCCTGCCAGGCTGTGCCTTGCCCTGTGCCAGTGCGCCCACGATCGGGCCACGCGCCCCGGCTGCAGGTGCAGCAACACCAACACTGTGTGCCGCAAGATTTCCGCCTCCAACCCTAACCCCTCGCTCCGCAGCAAAGCTCTGGAGAAGCCGTTATGACAGGCTTGGATGGGGGCCAGGTGAAACAGTTTCCCCTCAGCCGTGGCCAAAGCAACACTTTCGCCAATCAGTGCCACAGCTGACGTTGTGACAACAATGCCATTGTGACCCCAATGCCATTGTGACCCACCTACCTACATATGACAAGCCAACCAACCAACCAACCAACCAACCAACCAACCATGAAGTGTTGTTCACCTAACGTACCTTGAATTTACTTCTTCTCCAGCTCAGGAGGGACCAAAGCTTTACTGTGCCTGTTCACGTTGGAGACTTCATGCCTAAACAACAAAAACTCATCCTGAAGGAAGAAGCTGTCGTGCTTTGCTGGACTGCCCTTCAACCTTAACCAAGACGTCCACACAGAAATCACCTCTCTCTTCATTCCGTGGTGTCACATGGTCGTCTTAAAATCTATTTATTTATTGTTGATCCTCCTTCCTCCTCAACCTTTGCGAACAGAACGCACAGAAGCGGGTGATGGACCAAATCATGGAGGGAAAGACGCCTTATTGTGGTGACGTGTACGGTCTACGCCATTGGGAGTTTCTGTCCTCTTGAAAGAGAGGATCATAAGAAGCATGAGAGACTGAGATCACAGTGACATTCAGCAAACTCCACAAAAGGCTGAAGGTGAATGAATAAAGAAACCAATGTTATGTCGCGGCGAATATCTGACTGGGACTCGGAGCAAAGCACCAAGGCATAAAGTGAGAACAAAAACACTTGTAACACACCTGTGACAACAGTTTGACACCAAAAAAAAAAAAAAGGGACCATGCACTGTAAGAACTGTGTGAACTTCAATGCTATTAAGCTCATTTGTAAAGGAAAAGCACTGTGAGGTAGATGGACAATGTTTTCCTCAGCAGCCAAGAGCTGAATGGGGATTATTTAACCGGAGGGAGGGTGCATCCATTGTGACTAGGCAGCGTGTGTGTGTGTGTGTGTGTGTATGTGTGTGTGTGTATGTGTGTGTGTCCTCCCACTGTACAACCTGTGTATGTAGAGCGTGTGTGTATGTTGTTTTGTCAGCAGCAGAAGCCTCCCTTGTCTTATTTTTAGCAGTGCCGCTTCAGTGGAGATCTTTGGGGGGTCTGGTCGGGTTTCCTCCTGAAGTCAGTCTGTCGCCAACCTCCCTCCTCTCGCCGGCCTCCTTCACTGGCCCCCACCTCCATCCTTCTCTCCCTCCCATCCTCAAATCAAATGTTCACTTCTCTGAATCATCTCCCACTCAACTGAGCCTTACTGAGCCTACATGTGCTGCCACCACGGAGGTACAGCGAGGAATTTCACAAGCCCTAATTATGCAAGGGACATTTGTTTTTACTCAAAATAAATTAAACAGAGGTTCAGTTTCCAGAGCATTTTGAAAGATATAACTAATCCAAACCTGCTCAAAGGATTGCCTGAATCCTTGGTATCCCGATGTTTTGGGAGATTTCGAGTTAAGCCGCCTGACTCGAGGCGCATTATTCCCACACACCCATATATCCCCTCCTGCCTCGTCCGTCTCTCCTCTTACGCTCAGAGGACTAAAAGCCTCCAGTTCCTGGTCCACAGAGAGTTGATCAAACAGGCAATTAGCTTCATGATAGCTCTTAATGGGCCGGAGAAGAATGGAGCGTGGGAGGGGAGGGGAAGAGAGGGGGGCAGGATGAGTGGAGTTGTGGTGTTTGGCAGATGGACAGCTGATGGGGAAAAGAGAGATGCTGGGAGGAGAGGGGGAGAGAGAGAGAGAGAGGGGGAGAGAGAGAGGGAGAGGAGAGACTTCAGATGAAAGGAGGAAAAGAGGAAGGAGAGGAGGATGCTGATGTCACCATGCAGTCAGATCGTGCTTTGCTCTTGGGTGAAATGACTTTTAGAGGAAGGAAGGCTTCGAAGCTGACGAACAAAAAAAAAAAAGAAAAAAAAAAAAGCATCAAACGGGTGCATATGTGTGTGTACGCTTGTGTGTGTGTGTATGTATATGGGCTTTTCTGTGTGTGTGTATGTGTGTCAGGAAGCATCACCCAGGCACAGAAACACAGAAACACACACACACACATATACACACACCCCGACTTGATTTGTTAAAAGTTACTTTGCTATATTTTTATATGTAAATACGGGCTATTAACTGTATAACTATTTTTATTCTGCTTTATTTTGTTCCTATGAGATTGATATTATTATGGCCGTTTTCCATTATAATGAACATTTACTTATTTACTGTCCAACTTCTTATCAATTCAGGAACTTTTGGGGCAACTCTGAACAAGGAAAACGGTGTAGCAACAAGTCATTACCGTGTCCCTTAGCATAGCTCAGCATCATGGCTTGGTGTTGAAGCCCTCTGAGTAACCTTTTTGAGACCAAATACATCTTTAACATCAAGTACCAAAAGCTAAGCTCTCAAGCTGTTTGCCTTTCAGTCAGTTGTATTCTGGATCATTCCCTGTTCTTTGTTCTGGTATTAAAAAGAACAAAATTAGGATTTGTTTAACAATTCTTCTCAGGTTTGTAACATCAGTGCAGCTGCGATCACTATTGCATGTGGTTTAAAGCCGGATTTCTAAAGGCCTCAGTATGCCTCAAACAAAGTGCTTGTCAAATCATCTGAAAGCCTGTTTCTGATGGTGGAAGCAACCATTTTTGTGACTTTCCCAAACACACAATTCAACAATCACATGAGCTTTACGCAGCAAGCAGCCTGTTGTGCAGGGATGGGAAACTAGGCAGAGTTGTTTGAACTTTCTCTCAATTAATTTCTTCAGTTGTGCAAATCTGCAGATGCCGACAAGGAGAGAGATTGTCCAACAATGCACCATCATCCCCATTTGCATGATTCATTGCAGGATTGCAAAGACTTGCAAAAGTCACAGAATACTTAGAGATCAGATGCCTTCACAAGCGGTTAGGCAATATGTTGTTTGAAATAGTTTGAAGCATAATAAGGCCTTAAAGGTTACCAAGGTTACCAAACTACTCTACAGATTGGTAATAGTGCACAGTTGCACTTTTTTCTCCCCCACACAATACAATTCAGTTTCATTCACAAACCCATTTGTAAGTTTTGCTATTGCTGCATAGCTAACGTTAGCATTTACAGCTGTTTATTTACCAGTCTAGAAGAAATGTTGCGCATCAAATTTCATTCCTTTACTCCCCAGAAGCCGTTTCCAGTGGTGGAACACAGCCATCTTGTTTTGCCTCTGTTCCTATCACCTTTTTTTCCTTCGACTGATGTTAGCATGCTAACCAGCTAGCCCCAGCCCAGTTGGCCAGTCTCATCACTTTAGCCCTGAAGAAGTAGCACTGCTCAGAGGGCGTATATAATTATATCTATTCTATAAGTATATAATATCTTGTATTGTAAACGCAATGATGGCTGAAACTCTTGGCAAGACTGGTAAGTAAACAGTTAATGCTAACGTTTGCTATGTAGCAAAGGCAAAACAACTAGCTTAATGTTAGTAAGTCATTATATTTTTTGGCCAAATTGCTCTTCTCAGCCCTTTTCCAGGAGATGATGATTAATTAAGAAAAAGAGGATATTAACTGACCGAAGTCACTTTTTTTAATTGTGCATTATAACAGTTTATTTCTACGAGTGGTAAGAAATATTTTATTAGTCTTTTATGTGTTTATTTGGTTAATGTTTTTTCCAGGCTGTGTAAATGTTGCCCCAAATGTTTCTGCTCTCACTTCGAGACGGGTTGGCAACTGTGGAGGACACGCTCACCTTAAACATGGCTTTGTTTTCTTTTGTTTTTTTAAATGTTGCAACTTTGTCCACTTTTAGTGTTACCTATGACTTTATAATTATTATAATTATTATTATAAGCATTGGCAACCAAAAATCATAACCTATGTAATTGACACTTATTAATGCAAATCACCTAGGCTGATATTATGTCCACATTAATGCAATTGAATTTGAAATCCTTTTATTTTGTTTTGTCTTTTCATCCACACTTGGAAAGCGTTTTCAACCACATAAAACAAGTGAACACACTTTTAAAAATGCTAGTCTGGAGAAACTTTCCAGAAACACTGATGTACGCCTACCATGGGAACCATTTATGATGCATGCATGCTCTGTGAATGACAAACAATGCTTCAGGAACAGCAAGAAATCAGTTGGCGGCCAACTGAATATCATCTGCAGATGCCTTTAATTTAAAAAAAAAAAAAAAATTATGTACTTTTTTATTTTTGTGGTGAAAAACACAGTGTGGACTGAAAAATGGAAAATGTTTTCAAATTTAACCTCATTTCTGTGGACATGGCCTCAGATTGGTTCTACACGCACACACTGTCTCCTCTACAATGATTGGATGACGTATGTCACATCTTGGTGCTTGTGGAGACGACTTGAGGAACATTTGCTATTTGCACCCGGATTGTTTTCTATCTCAGCTGGATGATGTTTCACATTAATCTGTGTTCAGAGTAACTTAAAATATTTACAGTCACAGTTCAACCATAACCACTTCAGTATGCAATGTTTTGTGAGTACTACAGATACACACAGTGATTCAAGCAGTGCATTGTGGGGTCAAAAGCCAAATCGTCTTCCAGTGATTCTCATGTTTAATTAATCTTTTATTCCCCCCAGAGTTAATGTTTAACTATTCTAAATTATATCTCTACCTATATGTTTGCTAGGTTGCCAAAAACACTCATTTTCACATTTTAAAAACATTAATATTATGGTGGAAAAGGGAGCTAGATAATGGCAGAATGAAGTAGCATTTGGCATCAATTAAAGGAAAATATAATGTATCTTAACAATTCATTTCAGGGAAATTAAAAACGACTATTGTAATCACAATACTTGTTGCTAATTTTAAGGTTATTTCTGGGAACTTACTTCATGATACAGTCAAAAACCACACTCTTAACATGGCTGCCATTGGCAACTTCCAACCCTCACCTCTGCCAACTACGCTATGTGTATCTGTACGTACAAATAACACTCCAATATATAAAATCTCTTAATTCCAAGATTTCCCAAACATTTCCGATGTTTCCAACATTCCTCCCTCAGGACCGGAGCTCGTGTCAGGAACCTGTCTGATGCTGTACGTGTGCAGGCTGCCACTATAACCACTACACGTCTCCTCTCGTGTCTTAGCAAGCATCGCTTTTGGTACAAATTGGCATCTTGTATGCTGTAAAAGAATTTAAGGAGAGTATATGGAACAAATATATATAGAAATCTATCTAAAATGAATATATTATATATGGAACAATATGCATTTCACACTTTGTTTCATCGCTGATATTGCTTCATGGATATTTATTTAAATGGTTGCAACAATGGCAGTAATAATAACCACGAGGATGATGTTGATGAGTGAAGTATTTATTTTAGCGGTCAGAGGAAATGAAGAGCACCGATGTTGTTGTTGTTGTTGTTGTTGTTTGTCTTTTGGTTTTGTTTATTTGTTCCCCTCAGTGTGGTGTGGCTGCTGCTACCCTCCTGGCTAAAGATGAACCAATAAAAAGTTTCCAAACAGACCAAATTTGTGCTTTCTGACTGATTTATCATTAATAAAATAACACAATATTATCTATTTGACACATTAATATAATTGATTAGGCCATATTTCCAGTGTATGTGGTTTGGACATAAAAATGAATATAGGTTCTGTCATTATTGCCCCATCGAGCTTTACCCACCTCTCAGTGTAAGCTATGTAGCATATGCTGAGCCGATATTAAAATACATTTATTCAAATAATACAGGAAGTGGGTCACGCCCAGATTACAAAATGACATTAGAGGTTGCC